TTCTCAACTTAAAAGTTTCCATGGATGGACACTGGCAAGTTGGGAGGACACTGTGCTGTGGGAGAGAGGACAGCTTGCAGCATCTGAAAAAGTCCACTTCTTGCTTTTTTTTTCTCTATTTTAGAATAGTAGCCATTTGTATGAGGAAGAGGGGAGTAAAAATGGACTTTTTGACCTTTTGGGGGAGGTATTTAAAATCTTCACACTTTATTTCATGCAGTACACAATTGTTTTAGCTATTTTTGGAGTAGCCTCCTTTGAGCCTTGCAGGAAGTTTGACTAATAGAACAAGTTGTTTCTGAAGTCTTCAATCAGTGTAAACTCAAATGCTGTTCTTTTGCATAGCTTTCTGCTTCTGACCCTGATCCATCTTTTTCAGTTCATTTCAGTGATACTTTTCTGGAACAAATCTTTCCTAAGCCATGATGTTTTCTAGCTAGTATGCTTATTGTTTTTATAATCTGCCTCTGATAGAAGAATAAATAAAACCCTGCTTTTCTACAGGCCAGTTAACTAGGGTAGGAGTTAATGACTTCTAGCCCACGTTAAGTACATTGAGTGGGTGTTATTTTTAAGTACAAGCTTTTTAATTCAAGGTTTTATGTGTTTAATTATGTATGTGTAAAGTGCCTGAATGCAAGCCTCTTGGGTCTGGCCTACCTTAGGAATATTAACTACAAGAGCATATAGAAAGTACCAAGGGGTAGATTTAACTCTTCAGGTATAAATCCTTTATCCCAGGATTCACTTGGAGGGAATAACATCCTAGTGGAAATAATAACAGAAGCAGCCTGATAACTGAGGAGACATCTCAGTTAAGAAGAAATGAATTTGAGGAACCTGAAGGAGTCATAAAGGGATCATTAGAGGCAATATGTTGTAGCCGAAAGTATACTGGACCTAGACCACAGGAAAGTTTTTAAACCTGACTTTATTATTGTATTTCTTCTCTTGGGGTTGTTTTTTTTTTTTTTTCCTCTCCTCCCCTTCACCTGTAAAACGAGGAGTTTGGACTAAGATGTTCCCTGGTTAGTTCTGACCATAAATAAGCTGCCAATGTTTAAGTAATAACATAGCATTTCACCCTCATGCAGCTATAACAAAGACATGTTATCTTGCTTGTAACTTAGGTGCTGAAGGTTTTGACAACTTAGAGGCCAGTCAGTTGACCACAGGGAGAAAGCTCCATGTAAGGTATCATTTACATTGAGGACCCTAGTCTCATAGGTGAGATTTTTATGGGCAACTACTGATAGTGCCCTAGGAAGTACTTCAAGGAGGAGGGGGAGATTTTAACCAGGATAGTTGTACTTTTGGCTTTATTACACTTTGGGGTTCCACATTAAGATTTTGTTTGGGGTGAAGGAAGTTCTATGGCTTCAGAAAGGTTTGACAATTACTTTAGTAATTACTGTGTGAAAGGAGCCTTTTACATCACCAGTTTCATCATTCTGTGGTACATTCTGCTTTCTCTCTTTTCTGTGTATGTAAAATTTTTTTATGTAGCATCCACATGTAGTTATAGTAAAGAGTATAAGGCTAGCACACTCATTTTCGGGAAATATAGAACAGAGGCTGAAGAAATCCCAAGAAAACCACTTGGAAATTATTTCAGTGACTCCCAGATAGCAGACAGTGACATGTAGGGCCTGCAGCTCTTGTAGAAGTGCAGTTTGAGCAGGGTAGAGTTTCGATAACAAGAAGGTGAGCTGGAACCTGAAAGGGAATATTGAAAGCTGCTTCATAATAGATCTGCAACATAACCAGCGCCATTTTAGACAAGCCCAAGTACAAAATGGTGCCATCCACCTCCTCCCCTCCCCTCCCCCATTCTCTTTTACAAGAAGCCTCATGGTTTTGGAGAAGATGAAACTTTTGGTGTTTCCACATGTGCAGAACTCTCAATTCCCATGAGCTAACTCAGTCCCCATCCCAGAATTACATCACCCAGCTCTTGGTGCCAACATACCAATATAAGCTCCACCACCCCCACACCTGGTGCTGTCCACCATTTTCAGGGCAGCCCCGGGCTGCCTGCCACTTTGAGCACAGCCCAGCAGATTTTCTTCCTTTAATAAAGCTTGAACGGTACCTGGCATCTCTGCTCACTTTCTTTCACTTCACTCCCACTATTGGCAAGAGTCCTTTTCCAGAGTACCCAACCTACCACATGCCCAATTTCCCAGGGATTTTCTCAGTTGGGCTCTGAATTTGAATGGATGTTATGACCTAGAAGTTTGTTCTTAGCATTTTGAGCTGGGTTGGAGAGTACTATTAATTAGTAGAGAATGAGAATGGGAAGAAGTCATAAAGGTTTTATAGAGTAGATTAATCTGCCTTCGATTTTTATTTGTGGCCTGCTCTGTATAAAATAAAGTGTCATGTTGAAAACCTATGTAAAGCAATGGGAAGTAGAGAATTTAATTTCTAAAACCTGTGATTTATTCACCTTCTGCAGTCTGTTTCACACTTTTCCTGACTGTGATGTCAGCTTCCTAACTCTGAACCACATGTGTATGTGAGGTCTAGTAAAATAGGTTACAAAGCAGTTTTTATTATGGTCTCCATTTTCAGTCACTTGGAACCATTAAGAGAGTTTCTCAGGCATTCAGAAAAGTTTTCCTTATTCAAACCTTTCTAGATTTGGTCTCTGAGGGAAGGTCCTAGATCATTTAAGACCTAAGTTATTTTGAGAGTAGAGATCCATTGGTAAATAATCACCATAAAGCATAACAGCCCTGAAATTGTTGCTTTGCTTCCCATGGATTTGTCACCCCTTTACCCCTGGGTGATGGAGCCACCAAAGATTACTCAAAGTCCATCTCTTCTGAGCAGTGAAAAGCCCGAAAAGGGGTTAATCTCCTGGAACCCTCATGATAGAGGCATTCCTTCCATTTGGGAAATTAACCATGAATTGGGGTTCTTTTCCTGCATTTATTCTCCAGACCAGGAAGTTACAGGAAGAGAACATAGGTGGGGTTTTTGCTAAGTATAGTTTAACAAGTTTAACAATAGAAGCTGGTAACATTCAGTAAGAAAAGCAAGGTGACATTCCATAATGCAATTTTCAAGAAGTTAAGTTGATCCACCAACAAAAGCTTGATCTTAGCAAACATTCTCTTCTTACAGCAATTTTCCAGTATCTTTACATATCAATCAGTAACCAGTCTGTCCTTTGAGCCAGCAACCTGGCTGTGCTACAGTTCTTAATCTTACAATAGAGACTAGCCTGGGGAAATTTTCCTGTCCCCTGCAAGGTCAATATTTGAAACTGCAAGGCTTTGGAAAACCAGGCCCTGTAAAGTACATTCGCTTTATGCATACTCCACATGAAATATACACACTAAAAATAAAAAGAAAATACTAAATAAACACAAATCACAGATCTCAATCTGACATAGAATTTGCGGAGACGTTGATAACATATAACACTCCTCTCTCTTTCTCCAGCACCAGGGAGAGCACCTGCAGAGAATATATGAATTCCTAAGGGCTTATGTCACTTAGTCACTTAATGTGTGAGCGGATACATGTCATACAGGCCTTCTTTTGCATTGATGTCCTTACAGCAGTGTTACAAAATCTGTGTAGGGCACCAAGCTTCTTTTAGTTTTTAAGGGGCTAATTAAAAATGGCCTCATCTCTTTCCTCCCTCCTTTAATCTTTTTCTTCCTCAGTCTCCTTTCCAGTGTTTCCCAGTTTGGTCACCTTCTGACAGACTGTTATAGTACACAGACCACCAGACTAAGAACAAAAAAATTGGAGTCTTAGTATAGATTTTCAGCTATGTTCATTTCCTTATCTATAAAAGGAAGGGGTTCACCTAGATAATAACTGCTTCCTCTTCCATGTGTAAAATCCTCTATTGGTCTTTCCTTTCTCCTTTTGTCTACTGTTCTACTCCCTCCCTTCTCCCTGTCTCAGCTGCTCATAACACTGCATGCTTGTTTAAAAATATAAAATAAACATGGCTGTGAGGAAACATCAATAAATGCAGTTACTAGCAAGATTTTGAGTTTAGGAGTTCTTATTTTGGTAGATTCTCACTTTGCCTTTCTTATGCCCTAGCCAAATTTAGCCTACAGTCATATTTTATTTGGTTTGCAGTTGTTGTTGTAAAATAAAACAATAATATATTTTCACCCATTAGTGATAATTTAAAAGCTTGCTATTATCCAGTATTGGTGAGGGTATAGGGAAATGCTTGCTTTCACACATTGTTGTAGAAATGTAATTGATGCATCTTTTTTGGAGGGCAGCTTGACAGTATCAGTCGGTGTTTCTAGAGTATATATAAATTGACTCAGTGACTCCGAAGTTCTCTAAAGTAATTCATATGCTAATATTAATAGGTATATTTAAGGATGTTCATTGCTGTGTTGTTTATAATAGCAAAAATTTGGAAATAGCCTGTATTTCCATTGAAAGGAATGATTAAATAGGATATATCTATATATATATATCCGTATCATACATATAGTAAAAGTAATACTAAGAATGAAGTTGATCTGTATGTGTTAACATACTTTAAGTAGAAAAGCAAGACGTAGAACCATATGTTCACTATAATCCATTTGTATAAAAACTTCATAATTTTCCATATACATATATGTATATAACTATATAGAAAAATGGGAGGATACATACCAAATTGTTAACAGTGATTGGGAAGACAAGAGGAATTTCATTTTTTTGTTATACATACTCATCCGTTAAATTTTTGAAAAGAAATTTATCTACTGGTATAAAAATGAACAAAGTGAAAAGCAAAAAAGAAGGATAAGGAATTACTTCTTGAAGAATAAAAAGGCAGATTAGCAAGAAATTCATCAAATATATTAAGGGAACATCGTTTAGATGATATTCCCAAAACTTCAGAATAAGATAGAAACTATGATTTATATTTTGGCTAAGGCTGCCTAGCATTTTATAGCAATAATTCTATCCTTTCATTTTTTTGTATGCCCAACTTATTCTTCTCACTTGTCTGTGTTCTACAGGTAACTCGGGACCAGATGAAGGTGTTTATACAGCAAGAATTTAAGAAAGTTCAAAAAGTGATTGCCGATGAGGAGCAAAAGGCCCTTCATCTAGTGGACATCCAGGAAGCAATGGCCACGGCTCATGTGACTGAGATACTGGCAGACATCCAATCTCACATGGATAGATTGATGACTCAGATGGCCCAAGCCAAGGAACAACTTGATACCTCTAATGAATCAGCTGAGCCAAAGGCAGAGGTAAAAGAAAATGCCCACAATTATTAGTAGCAGGAGAAATAGAAGGAAACTGACTATCATATTTGTTAGCTCTGGAAATGACCCCTTATGGTCCCTGAACATGAATGAATTGAAACTTAGATAGGTATAAGTGTTTTGACTGGTGTGTAAACCAGCATGGAAGTATTGGTCACTAGGGTCTGCATCTTGTGGCTGGGCCTGGCAGAGTATTTATTCATCATGACTAAAGGAGTCATGTCATAGTCAATGAGACAGATACTAATCAGTTAAGGAGGGAAGCCAAAAATCAGAGGCAGAGAAGAGGGCAATTGACAGATCCCAGGTTGTGAAATGAGCCTATAAATAAAGTCATCATAGAGATGAGATCGGGATTGAATGAGAACAGTTAGGAAGTGTAGCATAAAGCAGGCCAGAATGAAATATTTTGGAATTATTTGTGAATAGTGAAAGGGTACCTCATGCTGGGTTTTACAGGAAACCAACTGTATAAATTGGGGGCATAACTGCTGGATTAAGAGTGGCATGTGGGTTAGGACATTTTGAAGATCAAGAAAAAAAAAAAACAACCTGTGAATGAAAGACACAAGATTGTTGAAGCACTGTACAAATACTAGTTACTATATTCATTGTTATTTTGTAACAGGAATAAAAGGGTCTTAGGCATTTTACCAAACAACATATTCAGACATTTAGAATATATTTCTAATATTTTAAGGCAGCCATTTAAAAAAATACAAACCTTATATTTCAACCACTAGAGAGAGGCTACTATTCATCAGACTTCATAGCATTATGTTGAAAATTCTGGATAAGCTTATGCCAGATAGGTTTAGGGTAGGTACTTCTAGAAGAAAACCTAAGAGTGTCCTTTGGACTATCCAGGACTTCTGCTGACTTAGTGAGCTCAGCCTGGACTGGCAGTCTTGCCTTGGCCTGCGAGAGCCTGGCCACAGAGTAAATTAGCCAACAGAAGAGCCAAGGTATAATCCAGGAGGCAGGTATTATCAAAGCCATCCTGACAGGAAATGTAAGAGACCATTGGACAGTAATCTGCTGCACCCATCCAGGGCTCTTGAGTAATTTTCATCAGTGTGTGAAAAGAATAGCTCTTGTTCTTTTAATTTCATCCTCCCCAGTATTAAGAAAGTATGGTCCTGAATAAGTTTCTAGATAGTCAAGATACCACTTGATATTCATCATTTCATTTAATCCTTATGCCAGCATTCATTAACTCCATTTTACAGATGGGATATTGCGATGCAGAGACTGACCCAGTGCCTTTTAGTTAGTAGAAAATAGAGCCAGGATTTAGACTTATGTCTGTTCTACTCCAGTGCCTGTGCTTTTCCCCCAGTATATGCCATATGCTAAGCATCCCATTTGTATCTGTGGGAAAAACTAGGAGAATCAGTATTCTGGGCAGCTGTGCATACCTAAGACCTTTTTATAATGTGGAGGTGATCATTTTGTATCTTAGTAAAAATTTCAACTAGAGTTAACTCAAGGGGTCAATATTGTAATTCTGTCTCAAATGCTCCTCAGATTGGGCCCCTACACTTATTCTGTGTTGATTAGGTTGTTCTTTCAAAAATAAAGATTATCTCCCTCTCTTTTATTTTCATTTCACATAATGAATTTAGTCCCTCCCCAACATTAACTGTCTGGTAAGCTGCACTATGCTTATTAACTCTGATGGAATTACTCTTTGGGATCAAGAGCTAACAAGACTGAGGACTAGGCTGTGGGCAAAATAAGCTGTTAAAAACAAGAAGTAGCATTCAGCTGGCTAGAGCGTTTACAAAGACTTGTTTTCATCTTAACAGTCTCTTGTTCCACTTAATCTGGTAACTTATTGGTCAGACTCTTTCACTCAGCAGAGGACTTTTTTTCTTCCCTTTACATGGTATGGAATTTTTTAGAAAATCACCTGCATTTTGAATTCAGCCAAAAGATCCCCATACATTTTATTATGAAAAATTTCAACCATATAGCAAAGTTAAAAGGATTTTGTAGATTACACCCATATACCTATCACCTAGATTCTACCATTAACATTTGGCTATACTTGCTCCATTTTGTATCTAGACATCTTTTCAGCCTTCTACTCATCAATCCATTTTATTTTGGACTCATTTAAATTTAAATTGCAACTTCTCTTTCTGAACAAGATGGAGTAAACACATTCCATTTTATTCCTTCCACTAGTCACAGCAAATATCCCTGGACAAAAATACTGGTCACCTGCCAGAAGATTTTTGAAGGTAGAGAAAAATGGCAGACTGACTTGAGACCTTGGGATTTGAGAAGCTATAAGGCAGTGAATTCCCTGGGGTTTTCCTTGACTTGTACATTTTTTCCCCTAAGTGCTCTGCAAACTAGAAACACTAATGGATACAGACAAAGAGAAAATCTCCAAGAAAAGCCTGCTCTCTCTAGCTAAAGGACTGAAAAAGGGTAGTCCATCTATAGAGAAACCATTTGACCATACCTTCCTATCCTGGAGATGAACACCATGAGAAAAAGTTGCATTTCTGCCCAACTCCAGTTGGCACTGCAGCAATGGAGCCAGTGGGTCAAAACCTGTTTTATTCTTTCCCCTGAAGTAATGAGGTGTCTTTATTGCTCCATGGATCCTGTGAGTGAAATTCTTACTTTTACCTTTGCCCCTTCCCCCCTCACTAGTGGGTGATACTTATCTCCCACACACTGTAGGTGTAACTCTGACTTCTATCCCTGCCCTGTTGTAACAGTAAGGAAGTAGTACCCCTCCCCTGCGGAGACTCTAGATAGAGCTCTAACTCCTCCCACCCCGTATTCTAGCTCTAACTCCCCACACTGTAGGTGTAACTCTGACTTCTATCCCTGCCCTGTTGTAACAGTAAGGAAGTAGTACCCCTGCCCTGCGGAGACTCTAGATAGAGCTCTAACTCCTCCCACCCCGTATTCTAGCTCTAACTCCCATACCGTATTCTAGGCAATGCCTCTCCCCAGCTGAGTCAGGGAGTGGAACTTTATCTTCCACTCCTGCTCTGTAGTAATGAGTTGGTGCCCCTACTCCTCCCCAGCTAGCTCTGTAGAAACTGTAAAGTGGAGTCCTACCATCTGAGTGGGGAAGACCAGAATATCACTGTAGAGGCTTTATAAAATAAGTTGACACTTGAATCACAGTTTACTAGAATGCATTCTGAACCTAAACAGGTTGACAGCCTGATAAAATAGAAAATTTAAATAGGAACCAGATTCTTATAACTCAGTATGTCCAAGATACAGTTCAAATTAGTCATTATACCAAGAACCAATGAAATCTGAACTCTAATGAGAAAAAATAACCAATCCCTATATATGCCCACACCAAGATGACATAAATGTTGGAATTATCACACAAGGATTTCAAATCAGCTATTATAAAAATGTCTCAATGAGCACTTACAAACACTCTGGAAATAAATGAAAAATAGAAAATTTCAGCAAAGAAATAGAAGATATAAAGAAGGACCAAATGAAAATTTAAAACCTAAGAATACAACAATGGACAAAAAATTCATTGGTGAGGCTCAATGGCAAATTGGAGATGACAGAGAAGAAAGAATCAGTGAATCTGAAGATAGATTGATATTGATCCAATCTAAGCAATCAAGAAAAAAAGATTGCAAAATAACTGAACAGAGCCTCTGGCACCTGTGGAACAATAATGAAAGATCTAATATACGTGTCTCTGGTGTATCTAATAAGGGGGGAAAAAAGAATGTGGGCCAAAAGAAAAAGCGTGAAGAAATAATGGCTCAAAATTTCCAAAATTTGGCTGAAAGACATAAACCTACTGATTTAAGAACCTGAGTGAACCCAGACAAGATAAACTCTTAAGAAATCCATACTCACACATCTCTTAATCAAAATTCTGAAAACTAAGGACAAAGAAAAAGTCTGAAAGCAGAGCATCTAAAGATAAATGACACAGCCCTGGGGAACAATTTAAATGAACATGGTATATGTCTCTATTTATAAGTCTGCTTTTATATGCTGTTGGAAATGATTTATAGTTTTCACTTAAAGGTCTTCAATGGCTTTTCTTAAGTTTATTTCCGGGTATTTAATATTTTTGATGCTATTGAAAGTAGAATTGTTTTTAAACTTTATTTTTCTTTTTTTTATGTTAGTATATGAAAATACAATAGGTCTTGTACCTTGTAACCTTACCAATTTCACCCTATTAATTACATCAGTGGTTTTATAGATTCTTTAGGATTTTCTACATTAGCGATCATGCCATCTGCAAATAGATATGGTTTTACTTCTTCCTTTCCAATCTTGATGCTTATTATTTCTTTTTCTAGCCTTATTGCAATGGCTAGGACCTCCAGTGCAATGTCTAAAATAAATGGTATATGTGGGGGCTGGCCAGTTAACTCAGTTGCTTAGAGTGTGGTGCTGATAACACTAAGGTCTGGGATTCAATCCCTGTTCTGGCCAGCTGCCACAAAAAAAGGCGGAGGGTTAAGGTAAAAATGAGCAGTTTTGCCTTGTTCCCAATCTTGGAGGGAAAGCATTCAGTATATTACTATTAAGTATGATGTTTTGTACATGCCCTTTATCAGATTGAGGAAGCTCCCTTCTATCTCTAATGTGCTAAGGGTTTTTTATTATGAACTGATGTTGAATTTTGTGAGATGTTTCTTCTGCATCTATTGAAATGATCATATGGGTTTTCTGTTTCTATTCTGTTGTAAAAGTTAATTACATTGGTTAATTTTACACTATTAAACCAATTCCTGAGATAAGCTCACACTTGGTCATGATGTATTATCTGGGTTTCATTTGCTAACATTTTGTTGAGGATTTTTGTGTCATTGTTCATGAGGTATATTTGTCTGTAATTTTATATTGTTGTAATGTCATTGTCAGGTTTTGGTATTAGGATTATGTTGGCCTCATAAAATAAGCTGAAAAACATTCCCTTCTCTATTTTCTGACTTTCTCGTTCCTTTTTGCTGAATATAGTTGTATCATTTTATAAACTCTTTGTCAGAGTCAAATACTAAAAAAATGGTATGTCTTTATTGTTATGTCATGAGCATTTTCGCCTTTTGTCTAGTTTTGAGAGGAGAGTACTGAGTTGCAGTGAGATAATATTAAGTAAGGTGGTTCAGATGGACAAACCATTAGAAATGATGCATGCGTATCTTAAACATTTATTTTAAACTTAAAACGTATATCTGCATGTTTTTTGATTCTGAGTCAAGGCCTTTTCTTTTAAAATAGCAGTTTGCTAATTGGAGTTGAATATCATGTTTCTGGCATAAACCACACCCATATTGTACCATTTATAAGGTCCAACCAATTTTAGTCTCTTTATAGTGGGGGGGGTGGGGGTACCATTCAAAGCAAGCTGAATGCAGAATCTTATATTTTTATAATTTATTTTTCTAATGTTTTGCATGTGTTTTATCTACATCAAAATTGACAGCAGTTTTAAAATAACCCATCTTTATTGAACACTGTTGGAAGCATTCAACTTAATTGTCATGAAAGCAGCAACTCATGGAAGCATGGAGTGCAAAGTCTCTCTTTCACTCATTTTTGTTATTGAGCTAAATGTGTCATTATAATTATAAGTTCAGCTGATATAAACAGGCTTGGATTAAACTTGCTCAATTCTTGCCCAACATTTCCACCAATGGAAGTAGAAATGGGAGGTTGTACTATATTGTATGTAGCCTGCCAACCAAGAGCATTCAGGATGTTTTAAGTAGGGATTTGGAAGTACTGCTTAATCTAACAAGTCATTTAAATAAAAGTTGGTGTTTAACAGTCTCACTTTTAAAATTCTGTGAAACCAGAATTCACTCAATGGGGGTAGAAATTAGTCTTAAATCCTACATATGTGCACCCTCCTTTTCTTTCCTGTACTTATGTGCCTTGTGCTATGCTAGATGCAGTGAATACAGAGATGAACAAAACACAGTTTCTTTTTCCAAGGAGTTGAAATCCAAAGAAGGAGGCGCCTGTATGGTGCTGTCACTATCAGTTTTCTTCTCTAAGTGCTAGCCTGGAAGCATGAGTCCTACAGATTGGAGGACAGAGGAAGATTACCCCACTAAAGCTATCAGTGAAGTTTCTGAGTGAGACTTGATCTTAAAGTGTAGATAAGAATTAGCTAGGCTTTCATAATAGGGATGTGCATTTCAGGTTGCAGGAACAGCACATGCACATCTTTTACTAGCAAAATTTGCAGTCCTCTGAATGTGTACTGATCAGTTCAAAATGGCCTTGTAATTATGTGTACTTGTTCTTTCATTCATTTATTCACTCCTTCAACAGAGAAACTCTCACCTCGGCCTTCTCCATGCTTTGTGATAGTGACTGTTGTTTCTGAAAAGAAGCACACGTCTGTACGCATCAGAAATGGACAAACAGGGCCGGCCCGGTGGCGCACTGCTACAGTGTGCCACTTGGGAAGCGCGGCGGCGCTCCCGCCGAGGGTTCGGATCCCACATACAGACCGGTTCCCGCTCACTGGCTGAGCGAGGTGTGGGAGCAACACCGAGGGTTGCGATCCCGTTGCCAGTCCTGGTCCGGTACGGGCTCAACACTGAGGGTTGCGATCCGTTGCCGGACACGAAAAAAGACAAAAAGGAAAAAAAAAAAAGAAATGGACAAACGTAGAGCAAAACCTTGTGCCCCATCATCTCTGTCCTTCCCCACTCTCCCCCAGAAATGTTGTTAATTAGCAATTCAGGGACAGTACAGTAATGGTCACCATTTGTTGAACACTTACAATGTAGTAGATACTTGCTTAGTGTTTTACACAGATTTTCTCATTTATTTTAATCCATATAGTGACCCTTTGAAATAAGAATTAGGATCTCCATACGCAGATGAGGAAGCTAAACCTTGGAAAAGTTAAGTAAATTGTCAGAAACTTTACTGTTGAAATTAATGAGCCAGAATTTGAAACCATGTTTTTATAACTTAGAGCTCTATCTCTTAACCATTGCACCAAGATATGTAATCGTGAGGAAAAGTTGCTCTAAATCTTGGGAGAAAGTTTAGGTACTTTTTTCATAAGGTTCTCCTTATGAAAAATTAAATTTAAATTAATTGAAAAATTGTGTTAAGGTTTAATTGTGTCATTGATAGTTATGTAGCTCATATTAAATTTAAATTATGACATTTTTCTTGCAATATTATAGTTCCCATGAAACATACCAGTCGTTCGAAATGCAAAGAAAGCTTCCACCATCCCTATACCTTTTCTCCACCACTTGCCTCATGTCCTTCTCATTAGAGTATGGACGATTAGCACCCTTACTGCTATTGCAAATCCTTATTCAACCTCCAATGTATAGCCTGATTTAAATCACCTTTCTGGCTGCAGCTGTTCCTTACATGACTGCACCCTGGCAATCTCCCTTTACCTCAGTCGCACTCAATCCCACATACCCTCATCCCCATCCCCACACCACCCCCGCCCTCACCCTCCACCCAAGGCACACACATGCACATCCCCAAACAATACTTTTTTTTTTTTTTTTTTACCTACTGTGCCTTTGGTCCTGCTAGTCCAGTGCCCTTCTCACTTTTCTCTGTTGTCAGTGTGGGAAAATCCTACTTATCCTTCAAGTGGCAATATAATTGTTACCTTCTCTATAACTCCTTCCCTACCTTCTCTAGGAGAGGCAGTGTTCATCACTTCCCTTTTGACTCTCAAAGCATTCTTTTAGTCTTTGGTAGAACCCTTAACACATTTAGTCATAGTTTAATTTTTATCTGTTTGTTTCCCCTACTCCTGATTGGGGGCTCCTAGAAGGTTAGAGCATTATGGATCACTTATCTTTTACCCTTAGCACCTACATATAGTGGCTTCTTAATGAATCATACTGGATTGCTACTAATATTGATAAATAACCTTTATTAAATGCACCCTGTGTCTTGGCACTGTGCTTGATGGCTAACAAGCATTATTTCATTTAATCTGCATACTCATTGTATGATAGAAACAATTACTACCCCATTTTACAAACTAGGAAATTCAGGTAAGAGAGCCAAAATAACTTGATTAGGATAACACAGCAAGCAAGTGATAGAGTTAAGATTTGAATCCAGAGTGTCTGACTCCAGAGCTCATTCTCCTTCATATCAGTAGGAACCATGTCCGTCCATTCATTCACTGAGTCATTCATTCATTTTCTGTGGAGTACAGCAAGAAGGTACATTCTCTATTAAGACCATCCCTGAATGTCTAAGGAGGAAGATGTGAAGGATACTCTGTCATTAAAAGGATGAATGAGGTTTCTTGAGAAAGGTTTGAGAGTCATATGAAAAATCTAAGTCACAGAAGGAGGCTCAAAGGAATCTACTGTGATTGCTACTGATAAAGTGAGGTTGAGAGAATACAGTACCTAGAAAAATAACACTCATACATTGTTTCTGAAGGATGATGTGGTTCACCAAATGCCAGAACTACACTCTAACAGAAAAGATGAAGGTCCAGATTTAATTGATTAGCTTGCCCCAGGGCACATAGCTAATAAGTAACAGAGCTTGGATTAGAATCCCAATTTCCTGAGTCCCAGTTCAGTGCCCTTTCCACCACAGTATGCTATATATTAGAATTGCTGTGTTCACGTTTGGAGAAAAAAGTGCTAGACCAAGGCAGAAATGAGTCTTTGAAAGTAACAGCTTGATGCTTTTGGAGCTGGTCAGCTTTTCCTAAAACCTGCTACTATTTTGGGGCTCTCCATTTGCTCAGAACAAAATACTGCCAGCCATACAGATAAAAAGGCAAGGCTATTATTTAGGCCCCCTAGGTCTGTGCATTCACTTCTCTGCTTGCAAGGGCAAATTATCAGTTCATCTTCACTGGGCAGTTTGAACATAGGATTATATTAGCCCTTGTTTTAGCCCTTAGACATCTGCTGGTTTGTCTCTATTACAATAAATGCACAATCTGTGCTTTCAGATTGGGAGAGGACAGGAAAAAAAGAAATCTAAATCAGTCTCTGCCAACAATGATTTCTAATTCTGTTTTTTTCTGTTTGTCTTTCAGGATGATGAGGAAGGACCCAGGTAAGATCACATTATTGCTGATTGTCTTCTCAGAATAGAAATTAGAGTGTGACATTTGTGGCGTTTTAATGCCCCATGAAATATGCACAGCCAAGGAACAGCACAGAAAAGGGATCTCCATCGTAAGCCAGGGCTTTGAGGATCTTATTTTGTAAGATCCTCAATCTCCTTCCCCATCTATGTCATTTCCTACCTGTAACCTTCACATAAAGGTAGACTTTAAAGTATGTAATGACAAAAACTTTCCTTAGCACATTCAGAATACTTTAAGAAGAGTAGGTACTACATTTGAATGGTAATTAGGCTATCAGGTGGACTGACTAGATATACTTTTCATTTTTCATTCTTGATTGAAATTGGATTGCTTTTTTTGTTTAATCCAATATTCACCATCTGTGACCTATAACATCTTTGTGTCTGACCCAAGACACCTACACAATGAATCCTAGGTCACAGGTATATAAATCTTTGTTTAGGGAAAAAAATGTTCCCTTGTCCTGTATCACCACAGTCGGATGAAATTTAAAAGTGCAGTTTCATTGTTGCAGTAAACCTGGACTTTGGTTTACTTACCTTTCCTGTCATTCTGCTCAAGAAGTTAGAACAGACTCCAGGAAATGCTGTAGCTGTGCCATCAACACAATTGAAGGGAATTTGTACAAAGTAAAATGCAGTGTCCAGATGGGCCCATCTGTCATGTGGGATCAAGGACTGCCAAGGCTGAGAGTTATCGGAATGGTCATCCAGGCCAGTGTTATTCAAACTGTGTATTTAGCAGAAGCGTCCTTTCTTCAAATGGACTTCAAGTAGAACCTCAGTGGGTAAAAAACAGTTTTTCTTTGGTTAAAGTTGGGGCCACATTCATTGGTGAACCTTCCCTCTTTATCACAATAGACCTGAGAGGCTTCTGCAGAGACCTTGGGTTCCTCAGAACTTAGTTTGAAAATCACCATTCTAGTTCAAGTCCCTCATTAAAAGAAGCTGAATGAATTGTCCAAGGTCTCCTTACTGGTGCCAGGATTTGGCCATTCTTTGGTTTTATTTACAAACCAACAAATGCAGTTTCTTTTCTTTTTTCCTTCTCCCTCCCCACATCCTGAGCTCCTTTCTTAGTGCCAAATGTTATCCCACATGTGCATCTCCTGGTATTTTCTTCCTTTGGAAACTGGTTCTTAGCCTTTTCTCTAGAACTGCAAGAACCTATCCAGCTTATCTACTGTGGGTAAAGCCACAGGCACCCTGCTTTAAACCTACAGAGCCTCAGGAAATCCCTTTAAACTCCTTTCTCAGAAACAGGCTCCTTCTGTGTTGTGATTTGTTTCCTTCATTCCTTCTTTCTTTCTCCCTCTACCCTCCCTCCCTTTTATCAATTTAAAGTATGTTTGTGACCATACTATGTGTCAGGCACAGTGCTACATACTGAGTATATAATGGTGACTAAGGCAGACATAGTCCCTACCCTTGTGGATCCTAAGTCTGGTGGGAGAGGCAAGCATATAACCAGGCATTTATACTGTGGGAGAAATGCTATAAGGGAAATTTAGGCTGCTTTAGGAAGGGCTCCTAAGTCAGTCTTGGAGGATAAGGGGACGCTTCACCAGAAAAGGTTTTATATGAACAGAGATCTAAAAGATGAGAAAGCAGGCAAAGGAAGATCAGGGTTCGGTTGTTCTAGGCAGAGAGAACAACTTGTGTAAAAGCTCCAGACAAGAGAAGAGTGGCAGAAAGAAAGCAGGGCCCAGGTCATTGAGGGCCTAGTAGGCCTTCTTAAGATATTTGAGCTCTATCCCAAAGGCAGTGGGAAGCCATCGAAGAATTTTAAACAGTAATTAAACTGAGCAGGTTTGCATTTTAGAAGTCTCCTCTGCGTATAGAGTAGAAAATGAATTGGAGGTGGGTCAAGAGCCTGGGAGACTATGTAGACTAGGCTAACAATGATGGGAGCCTAAATCAGTATCTTCTTGAGTTACATTTTAGAAGTCTCCTCTGCGTATAGAGTAGAAAATGAATTGGAGGTGGGTCAAGAGCCAGGGAGACTATGTAGACTAGGCTAACAATGATGGGAGCCTAAATCAGTATCTTCTTGAGTTACTGGTCAGGTTTTCACCATTTTGCACAGACCTTTGGTTTAGACATACTCTTTAAATACTTCTTTAGCATTCTACCTCTTCTATCCTCAGGATTAGCCCTACCTCCTTAAAATCCAGGCCAGGCAGAGCCCTAGACCTTCTTTCCCATGAAGAGTTCAAACAAGACCATGGGAGGGAAAATAAAAACCTTAGCAGAGGTAATGTGTAGGTTCCACAGGATAGCAATGGCTTTTCTGTCTTGGGAGAGCCTGATTAGAATGAATATACTCATCTTGTCATTATGGCCACACACCAGAGTCATGTTGATTATAATACAAGGTCCTTATGAAGAGGTTAACTTCCTTTAAAGATACTATTCAGTGTGAGAAACTGGCTTTGGAGTTTAATTGCAAATGCCTTCATGTCATTTTGACAAGATAGTGGTGAGGCATAGAGTTTCTTTACTAGCAACCGAGATGTCAAGCTGTCTGCCTTGAACCAGGCTGCCATGATGTCAACAGGGAGTGTGTTGGACTGGAACTTGACAGAACCCTTTTTGGGACAATGAGCATTTGAAGAACATGTTCCAATTTGGTAGAAAGAGGGAATAGGAGTCAAATTTTATTTTTAACCTTTAAGTTTATATTTGTTAGTTTCATTCAGTTTATGTGTACTGAACTACCATTTGGCTCAATTTATTCCATTTAACACCTCAGGGCAGATTGCCTTTGATCTGGAATTTCTCTCATTTTATGATATACACTTTGCCATTTCAGCAAGCCAAACAATTTTGTTTCAAAGGCTTCTGTACTGCTGACAGTATTAAATGAAGGTTCGATGTGTAAGGGAGGCTGAAAGAGAGTATGGATCTCCCTGTACAGGGGATGGATGAGAAATGAGTCTGGAGACCCTGAGTTCCAGTTCTGCTTGGATTATTATGCCTGTGTTTCCTTTGCTAGCATTCTTTCCACACAGTTGTTTCTCCACTGTCTTCATAGAAGCCCAGGGAGAATTAGATTTCATCAACTCTTCATAGTAGAGAGAACAAAGAAAAATTCATGTCCTATGGAAACACATTTGTCTGTAATAGATCTTCCTCCCTTAGACTGCCAGCTGGAGTCTTCCTGCCTTCTTATCTCTTGTCTGTTTTGACTTCTCCAAACTGTTTGATATGAGCTGGCCAGATATTGTGCTTTTGGTCATATGTTTTCCTTGCCCTGAATTTTATTGTTTAGTTATCCTGCTAATTAACAACAATAATAATTGTAGCTACCATTTATTGAAGGCTTCTGATGTCTGAAGTGCTGTGTGTGTGTGTGTGTGTGTGTGTGTGTGTGTGTGTGTAGTTTCTCAATTAATCCTCATACAAAGCATATAACATAGTTATTATCCCACTTGTCAAATGAAGAAATTAATGCTTGGAGAGATGAACTTGCCCTAGATCACACAACTAGTAAGTGAAGAGCTAGGACTTGGATCTAGTTTGCTTTCAGGGCTCATGCCCTTAATCACCATATGGATTATCTCCAAGAGGCTGGCACACTTCTCTCTGTGACCCTGTAGGAAAGCCAAGAGGATTCACACGTAGTCCTCAGACGGTTACTTTGGTCTGTTCCTCTAACAGGGGAATTCATACTTGCTTTGACATTGAATTGCTGGGGCTTCTATTTTATGCAAGGTTCTTCTCCTCTCCTTAGCTTCTGTCATTATAGAGGGGTATTTCTTCATCTCATCCTCACACAGTATCCTCTGAGGGTCAGCAGCAAAAGGAGTGCTCCCTCGGGAGCAGCCAGGTAAGCCTTCCTTTGACCCCACAAAATAGCTTCCTTTTCCTCTCCATCTGGTAGCTTACTCCTCAAATCCATGACACATATAGCTGGCAAGGATTCTTGGAGGGTGTGGAGGAACAAAAGTCCTAATATGTAGAACATTGATATTAACTGCTGTGTAGTAATCTTTTAACAGGGTGTCTTTGAAGCCCAGAGTAATTTTTTTTTTTCCCCAAGCAAAAAAGGAATTTACACTTTTGGCAGCAATTTTCTGTCTTCTCTGTGCTATTATGGGAGATCTTGTGTGCGCTTCCTCACAGATTGGCTCCTTCTCTACTCCTGCTGAGAAGTAATATATATTCGAGGAGAGGGGGTGGCAGTAGGATCTGCTGACGTGAAAGCTATTATATAGTGGGAGGAATTCAGAGGGGGAAAGACCCTTAAACTCTTGTGCTCAGGGAAGAAGGAGCAAGATCAGGATTAAATTTCAATTTGCTATTGAGGTTTTCTGTGATTTTTTTTCTAAGAAGAAAACAGCCAAACTTGGAACTTCTGTAGAATTTTTCATCTTCAAAGCTGGCCGTTATTCAGACAAAAAGCTCCTGCTGAGATTAGTGTGAATCTGACCCATGCTGATTCTGTGATCAAACAGGAAGTGTGTTCTGAAGGAGTAGGAGCTGAAGGGGAGTCGGCATACCTAGTTTCTATTCTTGGTTCTGCCTCCAACTGACTGTGGGACCTTGGGCAAGTCATTTAACTTCCTTTTAATCTGTTTTTATTTCTCTGTAAATACTAGCCTCATTCCTTCCCACCCTTACCTCCACCTAGCTTTGGGGATATAATTGTGAGGAGGAATGCGAGTCTTGTGTCAGATATGAAGTGGAAAGAATCTACTTATAAATTCTGTAACTTGGTAGATTTTTTAAAATCTTCTCAACTTTGTTTCTTTAAAAATTATCTTGGGGATTGTGCTAGAAACTCTTTTTCCCCCTCTAAATGAGTTAACCGTATGTTCTTAGATATGGCATTTCTCTCACTTCCTAGGCTGTAGAGATAAAAGAGGACTAAGTCAGTGATTCTCATTACAAAGAAAAAAGCCAAATTTTATGATTGCAAATTTGTGGTTTGGTTGTTGCGTTATCTTCATTTCAGGAGGCCTATC